AAGGTCATGAAATGACTATAATTTTCCCACTCACTGTTAGGGTTGCCTTGCTCAGTTTCAGCTTGCAGTGGGGTGTGTGTGGTCAGGACTACTCTCAGATCCTTGGTGGGCCCTGGTTAGGACAATTTCAAGTTCCAGGCAGGATCGGGCTGAAACTGCCCTCCCCGGATCGCCTGAAATAGCACCCTCGTGACTTCCTGCTGTCCCAGGCCTGCTGTCCCCACTTCCTGTCGGCCTCCCCTGAAAGTGGGTCCTTACTAAGTCACTCACCCTTGAGTCCCCTTGTCAGGGTGCCCCTGGGGAACCTCACCTGGGACAAAGCCATCTGCTGAGTTAGCCCCTCCCCTTTTTAAAAGAAAGAATGATTTTTAATTTAACTTTATTTATTTTATTAATTTTTTATTTTGACCAGAGAGGGACAGAGTGAGAGGAGGTGGGGGAGTGAGAAAGGAAGCTGCCGGGTTCAGGACGCGAACCACAGGCAGCCATGTGGAAGTCCAGTGCTCTAGACCACCATGCCACTGGCTGGCCTCAAGTTAGCCCCCTTTGAAGAGCTTCCCTAGAAGCCCTATTTGGGACTTTTACTCACTTCTTACTGGCTGGAATGTATGGCACGACTGTCTAGCTGTAAGGGCAGCCAGGAGACAGCTTTTCGGCAGGATGCGTTTTTGGGAAAAGGCTAGAATTCCTATTTGATCAGTCGGGTGACTGATTCATCCCAATTTGCCTGGCACTTCCTTGGTTTGAGTACTGAAAGTCCCACGTCCCAGGAAACCCCTTGGTTCCAGGTAACTAAGCTGGTTGGTATGGTGGGCCACCCCCTGGGGAAGCAGCCTCCTCTCACACTGACCTTCCTCACCTGAGCGACAGCAGCTGCTTAGGAACAGCGTCAGCTCTCTGGCTCGCACCTCAGCACCCAGGCGTAAGTCAGACACCAAACGGCTCAGTTACTGCAGGAAAAATCATTTCGCCCTGGCCCAGGTGCTGAATGATAGCAGTTAACTGTAATTATTTGATACATATCTATGAGGCTGAGAAAACTCCCTCAATTAGGAACAAGTCAAGCTTCTCAATTTTCTCTCTGTACTTACCCCCTCTTTTTTCAATGTCTCATAATATAGTCTTGGAAACGGTACCCCATCACTTCTGTCACTTGCTATGGGTCATATAGACCACCCTGGCACAGTGTAGAAAAAGGCAGGGACCTCTGGGTGACAGGGGCTGATCTGCCAGGGATTCGGGCAGATGTTGTTGTTGTTGTTGTTGTTTTTTAAAGGAAAGAACCCCATGAAGGTTCATCCTCTGACCCTGAATGGTTTGCTTCCCTCCTATGGGCAAAAGATACTCACCCCCTCCCAAGACCCTCAAAGTCTTATTGCATTAGAATATTACCTCGAAGTCCAGTACCTTATTAAACTGGATCCAGGTGTGGACAAAGCTCCTTGGGCGTACTTCCTTAAGCATTCCTCCCACTCAGCTTCTCTACTTCCGCAGAGCCTATAGGCTGCGTATCATCTTCTGGTTTGTTTAAACGTTCTCGGCTTTCACCAAAGACACTGATCAGCAGAGCTTCCTTCCCTCCTTTTGACATTGCTCTTGCAGGAAGAAGGCCGGAACCAATGGTCCTGGGGGTCGGCAGCTGTATTTCGGAGTGACGGCCACAGATCTAAGTAGAGCATGAGTTCCTGGCGGTCTCCCTTCTCAGTGGTTGATGTACAGACAGCCACGGCACCACTCCAGCGACGCCGGCCTCGTGACTCTGCACTTAAACCTTGCAGGGGAAAATCCTCCCTCCCCACGTTCTGAAGTTTACTTAATTGTGTTTCTTAGAATCTAGAACTCTGGTTTGCAATGTTCGTTAAAACGACACGTGTATGAGAGGACCCCCCTCAGGGTGTTGGGAAGACTATACGGAGATGGAGCTAGTCCAGTGCCCATGGGAGCACCTGCTGTGGAAGGCACCATGGATCTCAGCCTTGAGAACCGTGATGAGAAGGAGGAGGAAGGAAAGGACAAGGAAGGGTTAAAAGAAGTGAAAGGGGACCAGCAGATGGTGTAATGGTTACATTGCTGGACTCCCACATAGTTGTCTGCGGTTGGAGTCCCAGACCCAGTGGCTTAAGGTCATGCTGGTGTGTGCGTGTGCGTGTGTGTGCGTGCTCAAGATCCTGAGAGGAGAATGGAGGAGAAGGGATTGCGGCGTGGCCATCCCCCCCCCCGGGGGTGTGTGTGTGATTCCTCACTTACTGTCTCTCTGGTGAGCACATGCATCCTATAGCAAAAATGTCTCTTAAAAAAAAAAAAGAAGAAGTGAAAGGTGAGAGGGATGAAGACAGGTCCGCAGTCTATTTAACTGTGAACTCCCGTCAGCTGCAGAGAGGCCAGTTGCCATGCCGTCTGTCAAACGTGGACCCTGCCATCCCGCATGGACTAGTGGGTAAATCAGTTATCCATACAACTGTTTGTTTTTTGTTTTTTTGGGTTTTTTTTGAGAGGTTTTCGCTATAGGGCGCGTGCGCTCGCCAGACAGACAGAGAAACATAGAGACAGAAAGCGAGAAATCACCCCCCAGG